AGGGTCTACATGTGAATATAGGGTCTGCACTGTGAGTACAGAGTCTACACTGTGAGTGCAGGGTCTACATGTGAATATATGGTCTACACTATGAGTACAGAGTCTACACTGTGAGTGCAGGGTCTACATGTAAGTACAGGGTCTATATGAGTGCAGGGTCTACACCAAGCATGTCAAACTCAAAAACGAGTATAGGCCAAATAAACAAGGCATGTGGCCTGCCAGCCATGAGTTTGACATGCTTGGTCTACACTGTGAGTATAGGGTCCACACTGTGAGTACAGGGTCTATACTGTAAGTGCAGGTCTACACTGTGAGTTCAGGGTCTACATGTGACTACAGTGTGAGTACAGGTCTACACTGTAAGTTCAGGGTCTACACTGTGTGTGTAGGGACTACACTAGCAGTGTAGGGTCCACAGCCATGAGGCGTCTGCTATCACTGCAATTATAGTTTAGTAGCAGAAGATCAAACATAAACAAGTAAACAATATGATCCTTTTAGGTACTAATAAGTGATGAGAGAAGTAGGTCATGTGAGCAGGAGTATGGGGTGGAGGAGTGGTTAAACGACCTCTAGAAAGAGCTGATCTTGGGAAGAAGTGGGGGTAGCGGTAGAAGAATTTGCTCTTCTGGTCAGTTTCCTTCGCTCCCATGCCTCTGGGCTCCCCCTGCACCAGGGCTAGAAGCCTGGGAACTGTATTTCCAGAACCACTCACTGAAGTGTTTTTTCCGTCTCTGAGAAATGGTGGTATGAGAGGAGGCCACCATTCAGGTGCAGGTGGATGTGTGGGCTTTAGCAAATGCAGGGTTTGGTGTTGCAGGTGCCGCAGCTCTGATTCCCCCCAGGTCAGCTGCCTGAGCAGTTGTGCCCATCAGCAGCGGTTTCCACCTGATTATCTGGTGCTGGGCTATCCCTGCAAAGCTAAGATCAACCACCTCTTCCAACCCTTTCTTGTTATGCATTGAATTCTCTGAATTAAATCTTTCTCTCCTTTAAAAAAACAACTGTTAGTGTGGCTTCTCTTTATCTGGTCCAATTCCAACTGATACACACAGTGAGTGCAAAGTTCTAAGCTAGGAACACATTTATTGGAGAGAGAGGCAGCTGTGCTGGAGCAGGAAAAAATGGTGAGAGAGAGGGGAGACTGAAGCCAGAGATCACCTGTGCCCACCTCAGGGCAGGCCTCCTAAGGCACCCTAATAATTCTGGATTTTATTCTGGAAGCTCTGGTAAGGCACCAGGGTGTTTAAGGTGAGAAGGAAGCAAACAGGAAAGGGAAGAAATGGGCAAGAGCAAAGCAAAGAAACAGACAGAACTAATGAAGTATAAATAATAATAAAGTTTAGAATAAACTTGCTCTGGAAAAGAAAAAATAGCTAAGAGGCAATTTGATAACTATTAGTCAATACCTGAAAGGCTCTTTGATTTCTTGTGTTTGCCAGATGTTTTTTTGTGTTTTGTTTTATCTATTCTGTGGTCAAAGGAGGATCAGGCTCAAACTAAGCGTGCAGGTTCATTACATGGGGTGGAAAAAGAATCCCTGACCGCAGAGAGAGGTAAAGTAACTTCTTGAGAATCTATAATGATAAGATAGACAACAAATGGTTTCTGGTGGATGAAACCTTAATTGGAAAACAATGTTGAATGTCTTTTTAAAAAAATCTTCAAAGTTATCTACAAAATTAAGAGACAAAAGCAAACTATCCTATATAATAAAAGCCTAATATGCTAAGTGTCCAGTCCACCAGTTGGCCATTTAACAAATCAAAGCGTAATATGCTAATGATATGCTAAGGCCACTCAACTGCTCACTATGATGTGCACTGACCACCTGGGGGCAGATGCTCTAACCAGTAGGTTAGCATGCTGCTGGGTTCCCGCCGATCGGGACTGAGCGAGATGGGCGGGACATGCCCTGGAGCCCTCCCGCAATCCCTCCCCAGCTGGCCAACCTCCTGTGTCCCTCCCCAGCCCCAATCATGCACCAGTTGGGTCCCTCGGCCTGGCCTGTGCCCTCTCGCAATCTCAGATACCTCGGGGGATGTCGGAGAGCCGGTTTCCACCCAATCCCACAGGCCAGGCCGAGGGACCCCACTGGTGCACGAATTGGTGCACCGGGCCTCTAGTAATTAATAAATGTCTACATTTTAAATAAAAATTATTTAAATAAAACTGAAATATTCATTCACTTTTTAAAATATTTAATTAAATTTGAGCAAATATATTATGAAAGTGTTCATCAGCCCAGTGTTTGCTATTTCTTGCCAATGTGAAGGATCTATAGCCTATTCCATGCAAGTTATGTCTAGACCCACATGTAAACAGCCTGAGAAGGATATGTTTAATACTGTAAACATTGCTCAGCCGCCACATACACTGTTGTGAATTCCACAGGCACATGTGAGCACGTGCAAACAAGGAACTAGGACGCCAGGAGAAGCAGGAGAAGGACGCTGGCCTCTCCTTACTGGAAACGACACTTTGTTACACAAGGATATTGTGTATTCATGCTGAGAGGAAGGGTGCCACCCGTCCACCTGTCTTTTCTCCTGCCTAAGCATCCCTACCATACAAAGCCACCCCCACAGGCTCTAGGCCAGGGGTGGGCAACCTTTTTGTGAGTGCGTGCCAAAACCAGCAAAATCTCTGACTCAAAATTCTTCTGCGTGCCAACCCGAATATTTTGAGAACATGTTACGCCTACTTGATATCTCTTAAGGTGTACTTATGTGAAGAACCTTGAAGAAATGATAAAATTCATTCGAGCGACAAAAACACAGTATCTGATGATGAAAAATACATTTATTTTTTAATGTATACATGTATACTGATAGTCTGACAGAAAACTTTATGACTCCGTTTGATATTATCAGTGGGACTTTTGCTGCTGCATCACTGATGACAGAGATTTTACATCAGGTTTATATTTCGTGACCTTCAGAGATATGCACAAGCTACTACTGTCATCCGTCAGGCTACTCCTATTACGAGACTTAACAAAATTCATCACTGAGAACAAAGATTCACAAGCGTATGTGGATGAAAACATGCAGAGTAACGCTGTTGCAAAGTTTTTTTAAACAGAAAAAATTTTCTGGAATGGCATTCCAAGTCCTCAATAGTTCATTTTCGACACTTCTCTCTGGTACTCCTGTCTCTAATTGCTTTTTTTCAATGTTTTCCAAGTCAACTCTAAGGTCAATAAATTTCTGCTTCCAAATAAAAAAGTCGATATTAAGAAAAAAAATGTAAATGGAAGATTGTAAGAGAGGGTTTCGCGTGCCAGCAAAAGTTACTGCCGTGCCATGTTGCCAAGGGTTGCCCACCCCTGCTCTAGGCCATCAGCCCACAACCCACCAGGACAGGCAGAGGGTTCAGCTCCCGTTTCAGGGCACAGGACAAACGCTGTGGAGAAGCACTGCCTGGGGCCTGAGCTGAGTCAGTCACCCCACACAGGAGAGGGGGCTCACAGGCTGAGCTCTGGATCCTAAGTGGCAGACGGGCCCTTGTGTTCTTTTATTTTCAAATACGTTTTTACTGATTTTTAGAGAGAGAGGAAGGGAGAGGGGTAGAGAGATAGAAACATCATGAGAAAGAAACATCATCAATTGGCTGCCTCCTGCATGCACTCTACTGGGGATGGAACCTGCAGCCCAGTCATGTGTCCTGATCTAGATTTGAACCAGTGACCGCCCGCTTGGTTCATGGTGCTCAACCACGGAGCAACACCTGCTGGGCCCCTTGTGTTCTTTAACAGGTTTATTTTTGTGTGCTCATGATCTATGGGATCCTAACGTGCAGGGCGCCTCTTGCCCAGATCTAAGAGTGCTTCTTGGGTGCGTGGAAAACTCCCATGATTATGGAAGAATTATGCCCTCTGGGAAGGAAGGCATTCCCTGGAACATGCCTCTGAAACAGCTCAGCATGTGCCACTGAAATGACTAGTTTGTACATGTGCTCCTGTGAGATAGAACCAGGGTCTCAAGGTCTGTATGTCTCTCACTAAATGCTATTCTTGCTAAATGTTAAAATGTAGCCTAGTATTTTGCAGATGCAGCTGTAATCAGGGTGAGCTTGACAAGCACTCAACCAGATAAACGTAGCCAACTGCAGAGAAGACATGATGTGCAGTTAACCAGAGAATGCATATAAGCAATCGCTAAGCCTCCCTTCTGCGAGATGGAGCTTTGGGTGTGAATCCCTGTCTACTTTCCTTGCTGCAAGAAAACTACCTAATGCCAATCACGTCTTGTTCTGGAATGGACCAGCCCAAGTCCCAGACCCCTTGAGTTCGGTAACACTCCCATTCTAAACCACTCAAAACAGTCTCCTGGCGGGCCTATACCTTACAAACAGGATTTATCTCCACTTCACACTCTGTTGTATTTTAGAGGTAATACTTGCTTAAAGTGTCAAGTAAAAATTTATATTGAATATGTTTTTCCAATTGCTCCTACTCTCCTGTTTAGGTGTCTGGTGGAAAGTTCTGGGCAAGGACCATGGTTCGCATCCTGGGTGCCACAGCCCGGCAGTGGGCCCATCTATGCACCCTGGGCCATGCTCTGGGATTGCACACGGCTGTGCACCAGCTGCTCCGAGGCTTGACTCTGGGACCCAAAGCCTTGTGATTTTGAGAGTTCTTTTTGCTAACTTTTGAGTGACTCTCATCACAGCTCCTCTTTTATTTGCAGAATCTGAGTACTGACCTGGAACAGTGGAAGCCTTAAAAAGGATGGGAAAGGCCCCCTAGATTCTTCTCCTTGGAGCTGGGACATGAGAGGTTTGGGAAATGTTAGTCTTGAGACCTCTAATCGATAGACAATGCCGCCTCAGAAGGCATGTCTTTGTGCCATCTCTTACAGGATCAGTGAAGACTGAATAAAAATGAAAAAGATTCAATCTCACATGCTTACAATTCACATTAAAACTTCAGAGTTAACCTTGCATTGGTTGCGCAGAAAATGACTAAAATATTTCAGACTCTCACAGTTCTGTTGTGAACATGTCTTTAAAACAAAGCAATTTGGAAGTAAAGTAAGCTATCTTATGTGGCCAAAAGTCCTTAAGGAAGTAAACCAAGGACACTAAAATTCTCCCAGGGAAACAGATAAACGGAAGTAGTCATGTGCTTGAGTCAAGCCCAAGCCAAAGGTGGTATTTAAGGGCTCCCCAACAGAGGGGGTATCAGACGTCCTCACCTCCTGAGTCTCCCTCCTCACATCTCCTGAGTCCTCTCTACTGACACCATGGGGTGCTGTGGTTGTGGCGGCTGCGGTGGTGGCTGTGGCTGTGGCGGTTGTGGCGGCTGTGGTGGCTGTGGTGGTTGTGGTGGCGGCTGTGGTGGCTGCACCACCTGCAGATGCTACCGGGTTGGCTGCTGCTCTGGCTGCTGCCCCTGCTGCCGTGGCTGCTGTGGGGGCTGCTGCAGCGTCCCCGTGGTCTGTTGCTGCCGCCGCTCCTGTGGCTGTGGCTCCTGTGGCTGCGGCTCCTGTGGCTGTGGCTGTGGCTGTGGGAAGGGCTGTTGTCAGCAGAAGTGCTGCCAGTGTAAGTGCTGTTGTCAGAAGCAATGCTGCTGCTAGGCGGCCCGGCCTCCTGGCAGGTGCTGCAGGGGGTGGAATCACTCCTGTGCTTAGATGTTTAGACATCCTGAACTTTCATCTCTCTGGTTCACCTATATATTGAGCTTGTGATTTAATAGAAAGATACCTGATTAGAAGTCAGAAGCCCCCAAATCAAGTCCATGCTCTGCCAGAACAGCCTGATTATGGATGTCACCTTAGCTTCCCTGAGTTTTACTGTCATACTTACTCATCTGTAAAACGATAAGCTTGAGCTAAGAATCTCTAAAGACCTTTATATTTTTAGTGGTATATGAAACTACTGAGTTCTCAAAAATAAACTCACAGGTTCTCTATCCGATAGACACTTTTATATATGTTGGCTGTACTGGCATTTATATATACACAGTATTTATAAAGTACATACATAAACATCTCTCAATCCAACTCGATCTATCAATTGTACTGCAATAAGAACAGGCCACAGCTTGCTCCTTAGGGTGTAACAATTCACATTAATGAGCTCAGTGGAATGAAATAATGCTTTTTAGTGTATTTAATTCTTTTGAAATCTTTACTTTTCTGTTTGTAGAACTCCTGCACTTGTGTTATTACTGACCTTGGTTATATACTGTATGCTTCTTACTGTTTTAGTATTTTCTAATAATACTCCTAAATATAATTTCTGAATAAAACACCAAGAAAAAGAATTTCACTGTCTTTGATTTGTTTTTATGTTGTTTTGAGGAGGGGTGGGAGTTGCAGACTTTAGGAAGGTTCTAAGGTGAAGAACAAAAGGATACACTGAATGTATTGAGGTAGTGCTACCTACTGTAACAAATTTACACAAAAATGTGCAGTGACTTAATAGAGTAGACATTTATTTCCTGTCGATGTCAATTATCCTGAGTGGTTCTGGGTGGGCAGAAAGGGAAGGAGTTGGGGAGCTGTGCTCTGCTCAGTCATTCAGGGATCTAGGTTGATGCGTATTTTCAACATATGACTTTCAAGGTAAGTTTGTTGTCTGCAAAATAGAAGTGGAAAAGAAGAGAAGGAACAACACCCATCACTTCTTAACACACTGCTGACGGGTCACGAGAATTCTCGTGTTTTTTGTTCTAAGGCTTGTAGCCAATCACAAGAATTCTTTAAAAAGATATTGGCTTGTAAGAACATGTAATAAATAACTTCAAAATACAATGGGTATTTAATTTTAAAGCGTGCCTTTAACATTTATGTAAAATGTTTTTTGTACCCGTTCAATAGAAACTTATCTGGCCACTGGGCAAAGCTAGCAATAAAACTACTGATCCACAATGTGTTAAGATCCTTAGTGTGAAAGTGACACAGTCTATTTCCCTCACTTCCCATTGGTGAGAAGTAGTCACATGGCCCAATGTAAATGCATGGAGAGCTGGGAAATGTAGTTCATGACTGGCAGACATTTTCCAACAATTATCTCTCTATATAAAAGCCCAGCGACTGGAACAGCAGAACGGCCAGAATAACCAGAATGACTGGTGGCTATGACATGTACTGCGGTAGCCAACCAGCCAGATCTGGGCCCTGATCGTTGCTCCCCCTGAGCCGGCCTGGACCCCGATTGGCCCCCAACACCCCTATCGGGGGCGGCACCTGCTGCCAACTATCTGTGGCCCCTCCCCCCCTGCTGGCCCTGTCCGATGGACCCCCATCGGGGCGGGCCAGTTGGACCCCACCCATGCACAAATTCATGTACTGGGCCTCTAGTCTACTATGAAAAGTAAAAGCATGAATGTTGATGGACAAATAGCTGTGTCTGCATATAAAACCCATGTCCTAATAAAACCTTTAATGGGAGTGTATTTAGGACAGGATGCCTGACAGAACATGGCTAGGCATTTCATACCTATTCATACCACATAAATTCCTTCTGGGGTAGTAACACAGGGTACTGTGGTGCATACTTGATGCATGGATGGAACTACCTTAAGGTCATGTGAATCTTTCATGGGGTGGAGCTTCAGAGATAGGGGTTGAGAAGATGGAGCAGAAAATAGCAGGAGCTACCTTCTTCTATACAGTGTAATAGGAAATGTGGTTCCTGATGTTTGGCTGTAATCCTCACTGCTCCCGGGACTATGGTGTGCAGGGAGCTAGGCAGGGGAGCGATGGGCTTAGGGAGAGGATAAAACAAGATGCTTTTGCATCACCTCTTGTTTTCACCAATAGTACAAATAAGACTTGGCTGGGACTCCAGTCTTCCTCATACTAACTCTTTCCTATCTCTTAAAGAAACAAACCTTTCTAATACTCTTGAAGTGTTCTCATTGGAACGAAACAGGTAGTTTCAACTTGTTTTTAAAATGTTACATATCATTCTAGACATGCAAGTCTAAATGTCCAGACATTCTAGATATCTAAGATATGTAAGAAATACAAACATAATTCAAATTATTTTAAAAGGACCTGTTACATGGTCATCCCAGATAATCTACAGAAAATTTTCTTCATACAGTTTAAACAAGATCACTATGATGAACTGTCTTGCTCAATATCCATTTTTATGTCCTTCTAGCTAGGATGCCTTTCTGTATGGAAGAAGCCAAAATGGTTGAAAATTACATTTCCTAGAATACTCTAAATCTAAGCTCTGGATAATGCAACAATTAGATCCACCACTGAGAAATGTGCAAGACAAAAATGAGGTGGAAGTCCTCTTTCTGCTACTTTTGTCTGTTGCTGTTAAGAAAGACTGGAGTGTTGAATTTTCTGCACTGCAGCGATGTCCCTGGGTCCAGTTACTAGTTTCACGGAAGTGAAGAAACAGTTGTAGTGTCAGCAGACATCAAAGGCAGTGCTCCAGAGTTTAGTCAATAGCTTTGAGGGTGTGTAGGGACAGGAGCCACAACAGTGGCAGTGGCTTCCTGGACTGTAGCTACAGTGGTGTGTGCTTGAACTCGACCAATTTCCATGCCTTTTTGACTACTGCAGAGGCAGCAGCAGCCTGGACCATTCAGCATTCCTGTCCTGTAAGGCATTCCCAGGGGACAGGAATAGGAAATGCCCCTGCAGCCCTCCTAACAATTTTGTATCCATAATCCCCCAATTACTTCATCCCCTTGCTTAGCATAGCTAGGACAGTTTTGGTTTTCTGCACCTGTCAGAAAAACCCTTCTGACCATCTCTTTGTGTCCAATTCTAGCCATCCTCCAAAACTGAGAGGATTCCTAGTTCCCGGTCCATCTCAAGAGAATCCTTCCTTTTTCTGAACTCCTTTTGCTGCTTCAGTGTGGTAGGGGACAAGATATTTGTATATTTCTATCCTTGATTTTAGGAACTTACAGTTTTAGCATTTTTGTTTGCAAACAAATGGAAGCCCACTTACAGTAGTATAAAGGGGATAATTTATTGTAGGAATGTAGAGGCATCTCACAGAAAACAAGGACAGGACCTGCAGTCAGTAGGTGTCTACCTGGAGTCATCTACTCCATAGAGTAGAAATAAAAAAGTAGAAAGCCTTTGAGAAACCAGGCAGCTACCTTTTCTCTGCCTCCATCTAGAACAGGGGTGGGGAACTTTTTTCTGCCAAGGGCCATTTGGATATTTATAACATCATCTGCAGGCCATACAAGATTATTAACTTAAAAATTAACCTGCTATATTTGGTCAAACATTTAATTAACTCAACCCTAATGCCTTGGCAGGGCCAGACCAAATGATCTCGTGGGCCTTAAATGGCCCATGGGCCAGATGTTTTCCACCCCTCACACTTCCTGCACACCTGCATCTTCACCATCTCTTCCTACTCGTTTTCTGCGGACTGCTTGTTTCTCCTGGTGCAGCTCATTAATTTATGATATGGTAGAGTCTGCAGGTTGCCTCCCCAGTACCCTCTGTCTCCTACTTTTGTAGGATGGGGCGCTACTCTCTAAGCCCATTGTATCTGAACTTACAGATGGACTCCACCCCTCCCTTCCTCCCTTCCTCCCTTCCTTCCTCCTTCCCTCCCTCCTTCCTTCCTTCCTTCCTTCCTTCCTTCCTTCCTTCCTTCCTTCCTTCCTTCCTTCCTTCCTTCCTTCCTTCCTTCCTTCCTTCCATCCTTCCTTCCATCCTTCTTTCCTTCCTTCATCATTCCCAACAGCATTTGCAGAATCTGTGCTATGGACTGGGATGGGAGGAAGGCATGGTAAATATTAGAGCTGCCTAAAGTTCATTTTGCTTCTGGATAAAAGTTGGTTTATATTTTATCACCCATTTGAACTGAAACATAACTGAGTGACTCATTTGGCCAATAAAGCATGAACAAAAATGCTCAGACTGAGTATGTGGCTCATCATGTCTTTTCACTCTGCCTCTACAATTGTGGAAACCAGAATGGAGATGATGACTGCCTCTGTGAGCATGGGACTCTCAGCAACTACCATGAGCAGAGCCCCCTTTGTCAATTCATGATGAACAATTAGCATAAGTGAGAACTTTTGTATTTAAAGCCTATTGCACTGACACACCTTTGATTGAGAAGCTCACAAACTAGTAGAAAGACAATTGGGAAGCTTGGTCTAAAAATATTCTGTAAATGACCAAGTAAGTACTTAGGGTTTAAAGAAAATAAAACATCATCTCTCCTCCAGCCTCTCTCCTATTCCTATGTTTGATTCTGGTGTCCATACTTGAACACTTCCAGTCTAGTAGCATTGACCAAACCTCCCACAAGTCCTAAGTGGGTTACCTCTAAATGAGTTAGTCTGCAAGACTGGAATGATATGACATGAAGAAATTTACAATTTTGTGTATTCCCTAAAATTTTGACTAATCAAGAACATTTGCAGCAGAGGAAATACTTTCCCTCCAATCTCCTATTTGTTTTCTTGTTAAACAATTTCTAAGTAAAGAACTTCACTACTTGGTAATGTCAACACAACAGGAAAAAATAGTTTATGTTAACTGGGTATTCTTGCTTTCACTTCTATAAGGTACACTGGTAAAATATGTTAGAGGAGCGTTTTTTAACCCCTTCTTCCTTGTTCTTAGTTACCATCTGCTTATTTGCATGCATACATTTATCTAACAGAAACCACAGACCTTTTCCCCGCCTTCCTTTCCCAATCTCATTATAATATAAACTTATCTTTACTTTCTGTCCTCACAATAAGGTCTGCCCTCTTGGACTCTAAACCAACTCCTGAAATTAAATTTCATAAGTGCTAAACTTTAACTAGATTAGGAGGCTCAGGATAAAGGCAAGACAGTGCCATACAAACAGCCACTTGAATAGCATTTCTAACTGGACCAGGGGGTGACCATGACCTGCTGTGAAGGATGGACATCCTGCAATGGATTCAGCCTGTTGGTTCTACTTCTGTCGGGAGTAGCTCTCAACGCAATACCTCTCATTGTCAACAGACTTGAGGAAGGCGAATTTTTTAAAAACCCCATCTCTTGCTTTGAGTGGTGGTTCCCAGGAATTATAGGAGCAGGTCTGATGGTGAGTAACTTTTATTTGACTTGATGTGGAGAAAAGTGCTTTACCGAAGTCCTACAGACCATCTTTCAGGTTTACAGTGAGCTGAGCTGTGTCTTGACTTAAGATACAGTGAGGAGTGGTGGCATGGTATTCATTTATATTGGTTATCAATGAGGAATGACAATTTAAATAAATTAAATATGTCGTACAGGCTAGGGAGCTTGATCAAAAAAAGATTAAATTTGATAAAGGTTGGTTGGGCTGCCCTGGCCAGTTTTTCTCAGTAGTTAGAGCATCAGCCCAAGGACTGAAAGGTCACGGGTTTGATCCCTAGCCCTGGTCGGGGCTCATGTGCGAGGCAACCAACCAATGTGTCTCTCTCATGTTGATGCTTCTCTCTCTCTGTCTCTCTCTCTTCCACTCTCTAAAAATCAATGGAAAAATATTGAGGGTTAAGAAATGAAGTTGGTTGGGTTATTACCTAGCACATTTCTTTGCACTAGGGCTGCTCTTCCAAGTTTTATAGTGTTAGGGAACTTTTGAATGAATTCCCTCAACTTTCCTTTGCTGATACCATGCTCAAGGTATTCACAGGGAATACAGCAGGTGTGGGAAGTGCTCAGTAGGAATGAGAAGAAACATTCTGGATGATAATTGTGCGGCATGAATATGGCATTGCCTGTACCAAAGGGAGTTGGCCTAAGAGATTTGGGACCTGCAATTCTGGCTCTCTGACCTCAATGACTTCTTGACTCAGATCTTACATATACCAGGACATCATGGTGCTTGTTGAATGTTAAGTTTGATAATTATTGATCGGTCTATCTTTGTTGATGTCTGCAGCAGAGCAGTATAATACATAACTCTCCAATGTATCACCCGATAGATTTATAGACCCTCTCCTGGGAATTCTGATGCAGTGGCCTGGGTAGGACTCACCTGTGGAGAGGAATAAATACTGTTTTTGGACCTGGCAGAGAATCTCAGCTCTAATTATGTCTCCAGTATATTTCTGTTTGCAAGTCACTTATCCTATGATTTTGTTTCCATGCTCATAAAATGGGGATGTGGATACTGAAGTTTGGAAATTCAGCATTCAAGAGGCTGCTTTTGTTTGTTCTACCACTTGGGTCCTATCTAAAGGGTCTGGTTAATGTCAGAAAAATGAGCCTTTGTTTAGATGTGTGTTCATGTGTGTGTGTAACAGTTCAATTACCTATATTATCAAAGTGTTGTACAGATGCTGAAACATGGAGATTTTTAAAGAATTTCCAGACACTGTTTTCTACCTGCATCCCTAATTCTTAATGATGATCAGTGACTACTGCTGGTCTTATCCCCAGACTAATGTGAAAACACTCTTGAGTGGTTATACATTAATCTTTAGAGAAATATTTGTTCTTCGGCTCACACATTGGACTTGAGACTACTCTGGCTTCAAAAAGCCTCTCCAGTAAAGCATCCCCGAAAAGTTGATGGTTTCTGTACCTTTAATATCATGAGCAATATATTCACCCTGCTTGGTAGAAAGAGGTACTTACAGGAAAAGCTTTGGGGAAATTGTGGACTTTTTCTTCAAATTGCCACGAACATTCTCTTTCAGGCTGAGAGAAAGCACAGAGCCCAACACAGTGATGTGACTGCAAATCTTGTGTCTGCTCTGCCCTTCCAGAGGCTTCTGTCTACTTGAATAGTGTGAGCTTCCTTTGCATCGGCTTAGACAGAAGCCAGGCACAGCCGGCCAAGACTTACCAACAGTAGCAATTCCCATGAAGCTCCTAAAAGTTCCCATGTAAATAATCCATTTAGAATGACTCGTGTAGCTTTAGATACAAATGGACTTTACCACAATACAAACAAATTTCTTGCCAGCATGAAAGGAGCCTGATGAAGAAGGCAGGGGAGCAGGGGGTGAAGAAGGACAAAGGCATAGAGAAAGGCAGAGACCACTGCTAAGTGCTAACTACTGGGTTCATGCTTTACAATGTTATCTCATCTACTCTCTATAATAATCTGGCTGAGTGATTATTATCAACTGTATTTTAACAGACAAGCAAACAGAAGGTTAGGAGGGTTAACAAGATCACACAGTAGTTGTGAGACCCAGTTCCAGACTTATCTGACTTTCAAGTTCTGTGTTCTACCAGGATTAGCACCATAATCCACCTGTTTCAAGCTAACCAAACGGGAAGGTGAAATTCATAACTTAATCCATAAATTTAAGTCACCAGGAAACTGAAGTACAGAAAGGTTCTATAAACCTGTGAAAGTTCCAGAGAATCTGCACTTCCTTGTTCCGTGACTAAATTTACGTTATTGCCCTCCATAAATATTAACGAAGAGTATTACACAAGTCTATCTCTATTACTCAGTGTGGTAGAATGCCATCAAAGCATCAAACAACTCTTTGAAAAGTTCAATAGGCATTTTACAGTGAACCTCAAACTCTAGACTAGGTTCACAAGCAAACAGGTGGGTGACAGAAGGGCTCAGAATACAGGTGTATTTTCCTGGTCCTCAGCTATCTATACTCTATAGGGTTTTAATGGTCTACAGCTCTTCTGTCCTTCATTATAACAGATACATCTATATTTATGTATAGTGTGGAAGAATACCTTTTCTTTTCTTTTTTTTAAAAATATATTTTATTGATTTTTACAGAGAGGAAGGGAGAGAGATAGAGAGTTAGAAACATCGATCAGCTGCCTCCTGCACACCTCCTACTGGGGATGTGCCTGCAACCAAGGTACATGCTCTTGGCCGGAATCGAACCTGGGACCTTTCAGTCCACAGGCTGACGCTCTATCCGCTAAGCCAAACCGGTTAGGGCAAGAATACCTTTTCAAAGGGAATTGTGTCCTTTCCAACATCTGTCAAAATACTGAACTCTCAATATACTCGTAAATACACAGAAAAGTGAGTAAAGAACTGTCTGTGTGATAAACACTTTTGTTGTAGTTTTTGAAATCTTTCCAAAATTGCTTTAACATTTTAAATTGGTATTGCTTCAAAACCAGATTTCGTGGGAAGTAGTAAATAACAACTATGGAATTAATTACTGATTACTTTATAAAATACATTCATTGTGCTTTTATGACTTACTCAAAACAGGTGAATGTTTTTATCTTTTGAAATCATGACTAAGAGTGTTATGCAATTATCTTCAACTATTTTATATTAAGTGAAAAAAAAATCAATAAATATCATCTTTCATAGCACTAAAAAGAGACTTAAAATGTTCCTAAGAAAACACAGGGGTGGGCAAAAGTAGGGTTATAGTTGTAATACAAATACATTAATATATAATCCTATCTAATAATAGACGAACATGGTAATTGACTGTACCTTTGCTATGCCTCCCATTGGCTAATCAGAGCGACATGCAAATTAACCACCAACAAAGATGGCGGCTAATTTGCATACTGCAGGCAGGGCAGGACAACGCCATCCCCCCTGCCCTGCTGCCATCGGGACCTGCTATCTGTGACCCGGGGCGGCGGGCGTCCGTGTGCAACCTGACCCAGGGTGGCTGGGCGGTGCAGCAGAGATCCGCTGGCCCGTCCGGGCATCCCGTGTGCGACCCGACTCGGGGCGGCCGGGCAGGGCAGCAGCGATCCGCCGGCCCGTCTAGGTGTCCCATGTGCGACTCGACCCGACCCGGGGCAGCCAGGTGGGGCAGCAGCAACCCGCTGGCCTGTCCAGGAGTCCCATGTGCGACCCGACTCGGGGCGGCCAGGTGGGGCAGCAGTGATCGGCCGGCCCGCCTGGGCGTCCCATGTGTGACCTGCCCGAGGCATCCTGTGTGCGACCCAACCCGGGGCAGCGCACCAACCCCCGGATCGGCCCTGCCATGTGAGTGACCTGGGGAGGCAGGGCAGGCACTGAGGGATCGGGCCTGCCATCTGCCACCCGGGGAGTGGGCCTAAGCCAGCAGGTGGTTATCTCCTGAGGGGTCCCAGACTGTGAGAGGGCACAAGTGGGGCTGAGGGACACCTCTCCCAGTCCCCCTCCCCCACCAGTGTACAAATTTTTGTGCACCAGGCCTCTAGTCCTATATAATAAAAGGGTAATATGCAAATCGACCGAATGGAGGAACTACCGGTTGCTATGATGCACACTGACCACCAGGGGGCAGACACTCAATGCAGGAGTTGCCCCCTGGTGGTCAGTGCACTCTCAGTCAGTGCACTCTCATATGGGGAGTACTGTTCAGCCACAAACTGGGCTGACAGCTGGTGAGCGCAGTGGCCTGCCTCTGCGGCAGCGCTAAGGATGTCCGACAGGGAGCAGGCCTAAGCCGCAGTCGGACATCTTCTAAGGGCTCCCATACTGCGAAAGGGCGCAGGCCGGGCTGAGGGCCCCCCCCCACCGACCCTCCAAGTGCATGAATGTCATGCATCAGGCCTCTAGTTAATGAATAATAATACAAAAATAAACTGTGTTTCGGGTACTCACAACTATATACTTGCTTTTAACTATATACTTGCTTAATCCCTGTATTAAGGCCATTTGATATAAGATTAACTGTAAACCTGATCTTAATCACGCTTATTCATTGAGTACACTTATTATACAATGGTAATTCATCAATTATTAAGTCTTAGAAAAAAATGTTGAATGTTAAACAAGGTAGGTGTTTGTGTAACAAGCATTTGCAAAATATAGTGTTTTTTTTGTGTGTTTTTTTAAATATATTTTATTGATTTTTGCAGAGAGGAAGGGAGAGGGACAGAGAGTTAGAGACATCGATGAGAGAGAAACATTGATCAGCTGCCTCCTGCACACTCCCTACTGGGTATGTGCCCGCAACAAAGGTACATGCCCTTGACCGGAATCGAACCTGGGACCCTTCAGTTCGCAGGCCGACGCTCTATCCACTGAGCCAAACCGGTTAGGGCAAAATATAGTTTTTATACTTGTGATGGCTTTGGGTTGCTCTCAGGGTCAGGTACTTAGAGGATCCCTAGGGTTTGAATTGTGTTACTGAGTTTCAATGGTCCATAGCTCTTCTGTACTGCATTTGTAAGTCATACACTCATTTCTAAAACTGCATAAAAGGATGGGTTTCTGTAAGGAAGAATGAACAATACTACTTCTTTATAAAAGCAAATGACTGTCAGGGCTGTTAGTTTCACAAAAACTCTCATGCATTCAAATGTGCTTAGGAATTAAAAAAAGAGTATTCTCATAAATACTAATTTTGACAGATTATCTGGAAGATTTATGACTCAGTCACACATACACCTATACACTTTCTCATATTTTAATATCCATTCCTTAGAGAGCATTTCAATTTCTACAGCTCTGAATGGGCAAAAGAGTTGAAAAACAGTGAGTTGTGATGTAACAAACATGTGTTGACATGCCATCAAGTCAACTGGGAGGGGACTTCATGGCATGTTATTGTTATTTTATAAAACCCTTTGCAAGGGAAGAGAACTATAAAAATAAATATTCAGCATCTCTGAAATAAATCCTAAAAAGTCAGCAGAGTTTAATTTACATCAATAAGTAAAATGAAATGATTCATCCACTTAAGCTGTAATTTAATGTTGATCTAACTTTCTTCTAAGAGATTAATTTTCTAAATCAGCGATTGATAATTTTTTTTCTGTAAAACAACAACAACAGATCATGAATATTTTAGGCTTTGAGAGCCAGACAGTCCCTCTCACAGCTATTCAACTGCACTGTTGGTGTGAGAGTAGTCGTAGACAATATAAGTGAATGGGCAAGGCTGAGTTCTAGTAAAACTTTATGACAAAGAAGTGGTGGGCCATAGTCTGCCAGTTCCTGTAAAGGAATTGTTTCTTAAGCTCAGAAGGCAGTATAGCTTATGAGTACGACAAAAGAGATTTAGTCCATCAACACTGACAACCTGTTTTGGGGCTACATTTTTCCTCCCTTTTCTTCTGGGCTCTTAGCTCCACCCCAGAATGGCTGGGCTGCCCCTACATACATGTGACCTTTGAATTATAAAGGTGTTGGAATTCAAGGTAATATGTAAGCCAAGTGTGATAACAATATAAAGTGTTCTCCAGAAGAGCCATGGGGTCAGCACATGGTCAGAGGGGGTGAAGTTGGTTAGGAAAGCTGCCTTGTCAGGCATTAAATGTTAGACCTGCTCTGGAAAGGCAAAGGTAAATGTGGTCTTGGGAAAAAGAATTTGGGGAAGGAACAGAGGACAATGAGATGAGCCGGGAGGCGGGGGCGGGGGGTGGCAGATGAGAATGAACCAACTCTGTGAAGGAACAGAGAACTATAAGAATTATCCAGTGTGGATAGCGGTAAAGAGTCTGGGCTTTGGAAACCAAATGCCTCACTTCAAATCCAAACTCTTCCACTTTCTTAGAGAAGTTACTCAAACTTTCTAAGCCTCAGTTTTCTCATTGTAAGATGAGGATAAAAAGAGGCTGGTTGAGGCCGGAATGATCTGAAACACGTACAGCACCTATGACAGTGCCTGGCATGTCGTCAGAATTCAATAAAATGTTAGAAAATAAGGTCAGGAGGAAAGACAGAACTAACTACTCAAAGGCAGCTGTGCTGAGGTGGCAAAAAAACCCACCTTATGGCTAAAATTTCTCAAGTGGAAGGGAAGTAATTTACAGCCCACTCTTCAATGACACAAAGCTTCTTCCAGTAAGAATTTCTAGTCACAGCTGCTGACTAGATAGGACTGAAAATTTAAACTAAGTCCTCAGAATGTGAGGTCGCTTCTTACAGCGTTCCTCGCCAGAATATATTTCCCTTGATACAGAATGCAGTATGTACACGATTGCTGAACATCAATGTAAAGGAAGGCCATTACATATCATGTGTAAAGGAGTAGAAAGCAGAATGTGGAACCAAAAATATTTCCCAAATCCTAAGCTGGGAACCAGAGAGATGGCAGTGACCCAGGAGTGACAGGAAAGGTAGGGAAGAGAAAGGAATGGTGATGGACTTCTTAGTTCCCAGCTGTCAGGCAATCGAAACCAGCAATTTCCTTTCTGGATGGTTGCCAGATTCAGACAGCTTTTGGGAAATTAGATAGTGGCGGCAGATTATAATAACTAAAAGAAAAAAAATGAATTTTAGATGACATAACCAATTCTTTCAGATATACTCCTTCCAAAATAATGACTAAATAACTCACTCAATTTAAAATCCAAGTCTCTCTAACCCAGCTGGTGTGGCTTAGTGGTTGAACTTTGACCCATGAACCAGGAGGTCAAGGTTGGATTCCCAGTTAGGGAACATGGTGAGGTTGTAGGCTCCATCCCCAGTAAAGGGTGTGCAGGAGGCAGCTGATCAATGATTCTCTCTCATCATTGATGTTTCTATTTCTCCTCTCATTTCCTCTCTCTGAAATCAATAAGAAAACATATTAAAAAAAAATAAAATCCAGGTCTCTCTAAAGATGACCCAGTAAAGTGATGTAGATGGGAGAATTTGAAACTGCTCTACTGAAATCCCACCATCCCTTCCAGCTCTTTAATCTTTAGGGTTGAAATGGGATCACAAGATCAAGGACGTTGCCACACTTCCTTCTTGTTCTCTTGAGTCTTGATTTCCCACAACTGCTGGTAAATAGGAGGCAGAGATGACTGCTTCCTCATCTGATGAGAAGTAGTAAGACTCATCTTTCCTGTTGATGTAATTTCCAGGCTATTCCAGCAACAACAATGTCTTTGGCAGCGAGGAAAAGAGCATGCTGCAACAACAGAGGCGGGGTGAGTACTGAGCGGCGAGGGGAGGGGGGGAAAGTGCACCAACTGTTTGGACAGCTGAGCAAAGCCACTTGGGGCTTCGGTAGCTACCAAATCACTGTGTGGTTCCAGTGGCAGAACCACAGTCTTAGGAACATCCTATTAGGATGCTTGTATGATGATACAGAAAGTGTGAGGGTTTTTTCCCCTCCATAAAAGTGTAACTTTGGAGCCAGCCTCACCTCTCCCCAATCTTCAGTTTCACTATCTAAAGGTTTTTAAAGGAAGGAGGTTTAGAAATCACACCCAGAGCTGCAACCAATTTCAGAATACAAGACTTGTTATTTTTGTGCTGTGTATAAAATACTTAAGGAAAATGTAAACTCAGTTCTCTCATGCATATGAAAGATTGGTTTTCTAGGCTCGGAATGCTCATTGCTCGATGCGATTAAATTAAAGAAGACACTAGTTATTTTTTTTCTAACATTAAGTACATACCTACTATGATTATTTTTTTCTAACATTAAGTACATACCTATTATGAATAAGATTTTAACTAAGTTAAAAGGAAAATAATGAATACTTATTAACCTTCTGTCACTATGCTCAGAACAGATTCAAATAAGTTATCTTATTTCTTTCAAAACCCTTTAGTTTTGAAATATGATCCGCTTTATTGACCGAGAAACTGATGCTCAGAGAAAGCAAATAACTTGCCAGTGTAGCACAGCCAGTAAGTGAACTTTTATCTCAATCCATCAGACTCTCAAAGTCACAATGTCTACACTACTGATGCCATGAACATTGTTAATAACACTGTGTGCGGGCTCATAATTCTCTAAGGAAGGCATAGACGAATAAATGAGCACTCACAGTGAGTTCCTGGCTGAGCTTGGGGTTTGAAAGCGATGGTTCTCAGCCTGATGGGGATATTAGAATCACCAGGGAGGATCTTAAAAATATCTCTCCACCTCTACCCCCTTCCCCTGAGATGCAGCAACAGTATTTTTCAAAAACACTCTAGGTGACTATAATGTGTTCCCAGGGGTGAGAACCACTGTTTAAAGAGATACATATTTAGATTAATATTACACATTTGTATTTTTAAAAATTACCCTTTTCTGTCATTTGATATCTAGGGTTATAACTACTTTGCTAATTATTTATAGTCTCTCTTTGTTCCTGATACATTGCAGGTAGTCAGTCAATCTTAGTTTTTAGTTTCCCTTCCTTGTGCTTTTCTTTTTAAACTATTATCCCTTGGAGTTTGATTTTGCATTACATCTATGTTGTATTCCAAACATTTGTGTGTTTTTTAAAAATATGTTTTTATTGATTTCAGAGAGGAAGGATGAGGGAGAGACAGAAACATCAATGATGAGAGAGAATCATTGATTGGCTGCCTCCTGAACGCCCCCCACTGGGGCTCGAGCCTGCAACCCAGGCATGCGCCCCCAACTGGAATCGAACCTGAGATCCCCCAGTCCGCAAGCCGACATTCCATCCACTGAGCCAAACCAGCCAGGGCCAAACATTCTTGAGAAAGATATCCTGAAATATTTCTGAATCCTCAAACTTAAAGACATCAGAATACTTATATATTTTTCTCTCAGATCATATTTCCATTAAGAATATCTCCCTGCCCCCTGCACATATCCTGTCATGACAAATTTGTCATCTTTTCAATGGCTATTTTTCTCTCTCCATTAGGGAGAGTTGAGAATAATCAAACCACCTTTTCACACAGGTGTTGGGCTTGACTCACTGGCCAAGGGTGGGGGGCAGCGTGTAATAATAGTGGTGCTGGCCATTAAATCACCAGTTTATACTGATTAAAGTTTTTAGGCACTTTTCTCACCAGCCATGTGAGGACTGGTGTTTAAGTCATATCTTGTATCTTTCAAGTATATACCAAAGCATCATAAAAGTGGCAAAAACTAGATCTTGGGAGGAAGGGAGGGAAGAGGTGGTCCCCAAGACTTGTCCTCTATCTTAACTGTTCCCACTATTTTCCCTACTTGAACTGTTCCCTGCTCCTTCCCTTTATCCATTTATTGACTTTGCTTCTGAATACTTAGGTTTTCCTGAGTCATTTAAATGAACTTCAAGTCTAGGGGAAATACAGATGTTGGAATCACTTTCTAAAGCCAGGCCTCTCTGTAGTGATGAGAAGTCAGAAATCACAGATGACCAAAATATAAACACAGTGACGCTTCTTGATGAGCAAATTGAACAGTAGTGTGGGAGAAGCAGGATTTGAATCACACTCAAACCCATCATTCTGTGCTTCTGGCTGGAAGGAATGTAGTTAGTGATTAGACCTAAGCACTCACATTTACCAGCCGTGAGGTCCTGACACGTTGCCAACCTCCCTGGACTGCATTTTCTCAACCATAAGATGGGAATAATAGCATCCATCTCGTGGAGTTACTGAAAGGATAGCAAAGCCCAAGCTCCCTTGACACACACTGTATACACAGTCACTTACTCTGCCTACCCTTTAAGGGCAGGTCTAAAGAATGAAACAGGTGACCCCTCTAGGAGCTGCGATATTACCCCATCAAAGGAAAAGAAATCCTTCCCTTATTTCTGCAGATTTACAAGTCATAATTAACAGTGATTAACACAACACAGAACTTCTTTTTGGAAACCAACTTTCATTTGGGCCATAACACTTCCTATTCCCAAATCTCATGCTTTCCTGTGCTGATTCACAAAATGAAAGATGCTTACAGTCTTTCCCTCTGACTCAGTGGTGGTGCTGCACCAAAATCAGTTGCATGCACCCTCTGCCCCACACGCCCTGCTCCCAGGGCGACATTTACAATGTCTGGCAACATTTCTGGTTGCTACACCTGGGTGAGTGTGTGTTAGCGGCACCTAGTGGGTAGAGACAGGAATGCTGCCCATTGTACCGTGCACAGTCAAGGCCCCAACAACAAAATGCCCACAGGCCAGTTGTGCTGGGATCCAGAAGCCCTGTTGTAACTCTACCCTGTATCGACCACTGCAAAATGCTGACCTCAGGCCACTTTCAAGATCAGGGCCAAGTCCAGACTAAAGATTTAGGAGTCAAGAGAGCGGACATCAAAGTGTGGGTGCTGATGATCTAGTCAAGGTTCTTTCTATGAAGTAGGAAGTACACAGAATATGACTGAGGAACCAGATCTCAGTGCTCAGTTAAAATGGACAAGGTTCAGAATTTTCAGAAAACACAGCAAGACCAACACTCCTTTAGTGATTCAACAAAATGGCACACTTTGCCCTCTGCCTTCTATAATTCACACCCAATAAAACAGTGATCTTAACATCTAGGGCTACAAGGTGGCCAGAGAAGGGCAACCGTAGATCTGATGCTGAAACTGGAAACAGACCAAGAACATGTAATGACATGTGCACATGAACTACCTTATTTTTCAGATGTTTCTTTCATCATTTCTGAATATAATCACAATAGTTGGTGCTGTGTACTGCGTGCTGGTATCCGTGCAGGCTCTCTTGAAAGGTCCTCTCATCTGTAACTCTCCAGGCAACAGTACCTGTGAATTTTCAGTAGACAAATTAAGGTGAGTGACCTTTCCCTGATTGTCTTACACCGAAGCTACTTAGATTAGAATAATGTGGTACTCACACAGCGACTTTTTTAAAAAAAAAATGAAACTACTGGGACAGATTCTTATGGATTTAGCACATTAATTCCAACTGGCAAAAGCTCATAAAAAGTGGAGGAATTCTGAATGTTTCGGGTGTGGTCTTGTTGAAAAGGATAATTGACTCAGATGGCTTATCCTTGCCTTAAAAATTCCTGGAAATACACAGCAGAAGCTTAACTTTCACCTTTGGAGAACGGTGATGAGGAAGCCCTAGGGAAGCACTGACTCTCCACACTCTGAACTAATGAACTGTGTAAGCCCGAAGCACAGACTACTTCTAAACTTTAAAAATTGAATAGAAACCAAATAAATAAAATCTAGAGCCTTACTTATAAGCCCTAAAAGAAACCTAGCAGCAGCTGGATTATGGGGACACACTATAAATAGATGTGTGGATAGGAATGAATTAAAAGTTTAAGTCACTTAGTAACAAATAATAATGAAGAGTTACAAGTAAATGGTTCCTTTCAGTCTTGTAAGATGGTTTTGTGCCTGCACCTAAGCACAATGTCAAAAACTGGAACAAAAAAAACAATCTAATTCATTACTTCTCTCTATATTAGAGAATAACCAGACTTCCAATTACATAAAAAATTTCCCCCTCCTTTTCCTTTATCTTACCTTTAAAAAGATAAATCCCTCAAAACTTTCATACAACAGTTGTTAAGAATCACAATCCAGACATTCCCTTTACTAAAGGATCTGAAATCTAAACTTAGACTTCAACCACAGATGCTGCACACATTCTTTCAATCTGTAGCAGATGACAGCTCACCACGTATCAGGCTAAGCTCTGGAGGTAACAGAACTCAAGGTATTCCCACTCTAGTTGGGGTGATAGACAGTTAGTTACAGAGAGTAAACAGTTACACCTGAGGGATCCTAGGCTTGCTGCAAACTGCAAGGTGCACTCTCATATTCCATTTGTTTTTCCAGGTAGACTTGCAGTTGCTGGTACCCAAAATGCAAACTCACTATTAGCCTACTATATAGTGAACCAAAGAAAAATGACCTCAGGATAGACGTGTTCGGGCAAAATGTTTTTCATAATCCATACCTTGTTACAATGGGCACAAATCACTTTAATCAGTCATATTATTTTTCTTTTTTATTGATTTACTAGGGTGACATTGGCTGATAAAATTATATAGGTTTCAGGTATAATCATAGTATTAACATGTCTCTCTGAGTAAAAACGGTACCTCTGGTTTAAGAGCAGATGCCACTGTGGTTTTGCACTAAGAATCGAGCTCCTTCAAAGGGGGAGCTCCTTTATTTTCACATCTTCAGCAAGTAGAAGAACGTCTGCATAAATAGTCTGAACCACATGCAATTGTTGATGTTCAACCACTTTTGACACAGAAAACATTTTTTGGTTTTTTGTTAATCCTCACCCGAGGACATTTTTTCCATTGATTTTTAGGGAGGGTGAAAGGGAGAGACATCCATGTGAGAGACACATATTGACTAGTTGCCTCCTGCACACACCCGGACCAGGGCTGGGAATGAGTCTGCGACCGAGGTATATGCCCTTGACTGGGAATCAAACCCAAGATCCTTCAGTCGAGGGCCAACACTCTACCATTGTGCCACACTGGCCAGGGCTACATAGAAACAGTTTGTTGAAAGATGGGATAGATAATGAACCAAAAGCTTTAACCTAGTATAGTATATAGACACATACCCAGAAAGCCTGATCTTAGCTAAAATTTCTAGGCAAATTTCAAAAGTACTTTGTTTTACTATACTTTCCTGGGCACAATGTTGCATTCTTTTGATGGCCACAGAAATTCTTAAACATCTTACCTTTTATTTTTCTGGAAGGATTTCTCCCCAATCCTTCAATCTACAGTGGTACTTCAATGGATCTTGCGTAGCTCCTAACAGTTTAAATTCTTCCACCACGAATGACACCATGGCCAGTGACTTGAAAAAATACAACTTGCAAGAAAAGAGGCACAAGACTATCCATTTCTCAGTATTTGTAGGCCTACTGCTTGTGGGGAACCTTGAGCTCCTGTGTGCACTCAGTCAGATTGTCATCGGTTTCCTGGGCTGTCTGTGTGGAGTCTCCAAACGAAGAAGTCGAATTGTGTAACAAAATGGAAATATAAGCAGTTTGAATCATCTGAGAATTACATTTAAAAGATACCCTTTTAGAAGTTAGAAGTTCATTAACAGAACATTAGCTAGAAAGTTGTATTAATCCTTCTAGTCCAAAAGGTTGTTTTTAAGGTGATTTAAAAAAAAAATCAGCCTTTTACATATAATGCTGGTAAATGCAAACCACTTTCATAAGAAAAAGTAAATACCACCAGTAGTTGACTTTGGGGTGCAGTGACGCTTTCAATGTGTTTTGAATCCTTTTGTGCTGTTTGAATTTTTTAACTCTACATTCTTGTGTGAGGAGAGGAAAAGAGGGAGGGGAAAGGAGATGGGTGATGGAGGAAGGGAGAACGAGAGGGAACAAGTTATCTTGGAAGTCAAAGTAGGGGACCTTTTCCTTGTACTTCTTTATACTTTAAGAAAAAATAACTATCTAACCTGAATGTAATCAAGTTTTTTATACCGAATTCCTCACTTACTGGAAATCCAGGGAGAGAGAGACTCAAATCCTAAAGGTAGGACAGTAAATAGCCTTCTGTTTTCAACAAGAACATGTACAGGGAAAAAACAAGTGGAATGTATTGAGGAAACTATTCTATATTGAGAACAAAGAGATGTTATTCAACTAAATGTATTATACAGACCTTATAGGGAAAATAGGGCAAAGTTGTACAGGATTGGTTTGGGTAATATTAAGGACTTATTGTGAATATTTACGGCTGATAATGGCTTTATGGTAATATAAAAAAAAGTCCTTATTTTTTAGAAATGCATGTTTTTGTGTTTGGGGGAAAATGTCATGTTTTTAAAATACGTCAACCAAAAATAAAGCAATTGAAAAATGTTCATTGTTATATATATAGGGACAGGAATATAGTGAGTCATTATACTTTTCTATTTTCCTATGTTTGCATTTTTCACAATAATTAAAGAACTATAAATACCTAGAAAAAATCAGTCTTTCAAAAGCTGGTTTCTATATATCATAGTCTTTAAAAGACAACATAATAAAACAGTGTATTTACCATATTAAAATGATGTAAAACACTAAAAATCTACAATTTTCTGAATGTGATCATTCCTGCATTTTTTCCCAATTATTTATGTTCACTGCGCTTCAGGTTGTAGAAATAACTTACAATACTTACATTATAGCTGCTCTTCAAAATTAGTAACATACAGGCACTTTCTTTCTGAATCCATCTGCTGTGTAAAGACCTTCTCCTCATGCTCTTATAAATCCCAATTTACCCTTAAAGTTTAACTTACATTATTTCTACTTGAGAAAGCTTTCCCAGAGTGCATGATTCCAATAAATCAAGTTAGCACTTACCCAAACTACTCTTATCATACCTGTCAGAATGTAACATAAATGTTTTTGCTTGTATGTCCATCATTATAAGACAACAAGGACCAACTAATGCTTCTCATCCATTAATTAATCAGCTCCTCCCTGCTTCAGGTTAGCAAGGCCTCTCTTCTATCCAGGCCCCCAATATCCCCCTGCCCAAGTCTAATCTCTAGCTAAGTCCTCTTCATCCTTTAGCACAAATATTCCTTTTTCTGAGAAGCCTTCCCTAACCACCTAATGACAAGCAGGTGTCCCCTTACCCTCCCTTAGTTCTCTTTCATTGATAGTACTCACCACAATGGTGATGGCATTTTTATTTGTACTTGCTTCTTAAATTTCACTTTCCCCCATAAGACCATAAGCTCCATGGGTACAGGGATATGCTTCTTTTACCCGCTCCTGGTATACTCAGTACCAAGTACAGTGCCTGACACAAAGTAAGGCCACCACTAGAAATATTCTGTGGAATCAATGAATGAATTCTATCTTGGCTACTAGGAATATTCTATTGAATGAACTGATGAATTCTATCTTTAGTACTTAGCTTTCAGCAGATTCAATACTTACTAAATGAATGCCAAACTGCTAACAGCCATAGAATTAAAACACAAGTGACTAACAGGACAGTTTACACTATGTAGCTGAACAACATGAGGGGCAGCAACAGTGCACACAATCTTTGCATCACCCTAGATCAGTGGTCGGCAAACTCATTAGCCAACAGAGCCAAATATCAACAGTACAACGATTGAAATTTCTTTTGAGAGCCAAATTTTTTAAACTTAAACTAGGTAGGTGCATTGTTATTAACTTAATTAGGGTACTCCTAAGGCTTAGGAAGAGCCACACTCAAGGGGCCAAAGAGCCGCATGTGGCTCGAGAGCTGCAGTTTTCCAACCACGGCCCTAGATGACCCAGTTCTCCAGTCATGAAGAGACAGATTAAGCCTCCCATTCCAGAGGGCACGAGAAAGGATGGCTCGAAGGAGCACAATCAGCTCAAGTAGCTGGTAAGTCATTTCCTTGCTATTTTACTAGTTTGCTGACATGAATTAAGTCCCTAAAAGCCTATGGATCACCTGTGTTTAGGTATCTTTTGGGGACATGCCAGCTTTGCTCTGGCACCTAAACTTACAAATGCGTATTTGTACACCCCCTCCCCCAAGTACTTAGTCATTTACAAAGCTGTTTTTTATTTCTCACTTCCACCTCCACGTTCAATCTTGTTTTGGAATCTTTACACTTTAATTTTTACTGTTATCCACCACGTGAAACACTCCACCCTCTCCCTATCCTTCAGCTGTATCTCAAATTGCTCTTCTTCAATAAAGTTGTTTTTATCATCTTCTAATTCCTTAATAAACATACTCCCGGCCTCCTCCATTGATTTGTCAATTCCTTAAGAGCAGCACATAGGGTCTTGCTCCTGCCAAGCCCTTAGCTGCATGACTTGCGCCTGAGACAGAGACTTGGGTTCATGTAAGATAAGAGTATGTGACAGAGCTCACAGCATAGTATGATGAAACAAAATCTTCCGATCAACAAATATTGCTTTGGTTGACAGTTTATTAAATACACTGCAATTGTACCTTATTCTGTAGTTTTTTAAATCATTCACACATGAACTTAGTAAAAATGTCCCTTATACAAAACCACCTGAAAAACTAAAATAAAAACAAACATATTTTACACACATATTAGATAAACTGCTGAAAATATTAGGACTTATTTTAATAAAGGTGAAACATGAGGTGGCTTGATTTTATTAATTCTAACACCAGACCATGACTTTCAGATGTGTCAATGCTGAATGTGGATGCGAGCATGTCTATTAACAAAACTGTTTAACAATGTTTGGGAAACAGATCAAAGTAAAGGGTTTTTCTTTTACAGATACTTTTCTAAATCTAGTCTCTACCTACCCCCATTCAGAGAATTACTTATGCAAATGATGTGGCAAAAAATTAATTCCTTTTAAAAAACAAATCAGAGCCTATTTACACAACATGCAAAGAGAGAATTTTAAGTAGGCGTTATTGCAGGACTAGTTACAAGGGAATACAGCTAAGTGGCAGAATATACCTTTACCTCTGCAAACATGAGTCTTTCCCCTTCCCTTCTGGAAGAAGTACATTTTCAGGGCGTGGACTATAAAATGGCATATTCAACGCAAACACAGAAACAAGGAAGTTTGCAAATTCTTTATATTTCCAGCTGTTGAGACAGTATTTTTTGAGAGCTGAGGTTACTCTAGCGGCGAAACCAGAGCCAGCTATTAAGCAGCCAGAATGCTACCGTAATTGAATACATGACCATTTCTCTTTTAGCACGTTCTTTGTTCTCCTCTTCTAGAAGTTGTAGACGTCGATTTAATTTGATTATCTAAGTGAAAAACAAAATAGAAGCGTTAATGCAAGAAGTGATCAAATTCTTATAAAGTAGTATAATTTGTCAAAATAATTATTATAAACATGGGAAGTTTCATTTGGAGCAAAATAAAAAAAAAACTATATAGAAAAGTTACATATGACAGCTAAGATTCACTTAAATACTCTTCTCTCTTTCCCTTCTCCAAATTTCTGAGTTAGAAAGGGTCTATTTTCCTTCCCTCTTTAAAAAAAAAAAAAAAAAAAAAATCCTCACCCAAGGATGTTTACTGATTTTAGAGAGGTGGGGGGGGGGGGGGGGGCGGGGGGGAGAAAGAGAGGTGGAGAAAGAGTAACACCAATGGGAGAAATATCAATAGGTTGTCTTCCACATGTGACCCCATAGAACCTGCAACCCAGGTACGGCGGGGATGGCCATTCCGATCATCTGAGAAAGTACCTCTCTTTTATCAGTGCTAAGCAACCACTGTTCTGTTAGGGTCAATTCAGTAAACAATAAAAGTGTTTAACAATTACCTTTCCCACTACTCAAAATGGGTAGTTTATTTGGTTCCATGGGATACTATGTTCTTACACTACCAATCTTATTTTACTGCCAATGGAAAAGTGTCATTGCTTTAAATCATTAAGATATTTCTATCTGAGCATTTTTTAGTAGCTTTTTGTTTTTTAACATTTTTATTGATTTCAGAGAGGAAGGGAGAGGGAGAGAGAGATAGAAACATCAATGACGAGAGAGAATCATTGGTTGGCTGCTTCTTGCACGTCCCTTACTGGGGATTGAGTCCGCAACCAGGGGAATGTGGCCTTGACTAGAATCAAAACCGGAAGAACCCTTTTGTCTTCAGGCCAACACTCTTATCCACTGAGCTAAATGGGTTAGGGCCCAAGGCAGCTTTTTAATACCCCCACCCCGATAGTGGGTTACATTCTGTATCCTAAAGCTAGTGACCCTGAGCTGCTCATCACTACACTAAATGGACTCCAGACTACTGGGTTCCCAAACAGGCAATGGAGCAAAGAGAGCTGCAGAAGTAGCAGCTTCCCTTGCTGCCAGGTCATACAAATATAAATTCTGTAGAATCTTCTGGTGATTCCACTTATGTTAATTATTTTAGAAAATCATAGTTTCCCAACTGGCTTTCTACTCCTTTTAAAGTCTCAAAGCACGTGTGCAAGTTATTTAACTAGAGGCCTGGTGCACAAAAATTTGTGCACTTGGTGGGGAGGGGGGGGTCCCTCAGCCCGGCCTGTGCCCTCTCTCAGTCTGGGACCCCTCGGGAGATAACGACCTGCTGGCTTAGACCTGCTCCCGGGTGGCAGAGGGCAGGCCCAATCCCTAAGTGCAGCCCCTGGTCGGGCTCAGAGCAGGGCTGATTGGGGAGTTGGGGCACCGGCCCCCGTCATGCACAGAGCAGGGCGGATTAGGAGGTTGCGATGCCACCCTCAGTCATGCTCAGGGTAGGGCCGATTGGGGGGTTGGGGCACCGCCCCGTCACACTCAAGGCAGGGCCGATGGGGAGGTTGTGGCGCCACCCCCTGTCATGCACAGAGCAGGGCCAATCAGGGGGTTGGGGCGCTGCCCCCTGTCACTCACAGAGCAGGGCCCATCAAGGGGGTTGGGGCTCCGTACCCTGTCACGCACAGAGCAGGGTTGATCAGGGGGTTGGGGAGCTCCCCCCTCTCATGCACAGAGCAGGGCCGATCAGGGGGTTGAGGAGCTCCCCTCGTCACTCACAGAGTAGGGCCGATAGGGGAGTTGGGGCACCGCCCCCTGTCACACACAGAGCAGGGCCCGTGGGGGGGGGGGGGCGTTGGGGCGCCGCACCCTGTCACACACAGAGCAGGGCTGATCAAGGGGTTGGGGCGCCACACCCTGTCACACACAGAGCCGCAGGACGATCAGGGGGTTGGGGAGCTCCCCCCTATCAGGCACAGAGCAGGGCTGATCAGGGAGTTGGGTGCCTTCCCCTGTCACGAACAGAGCAGGGTGGATAGGGAGGTTGTGGCCCCACCCCCTGTCACACACAGAGCCGCAGGGCGATCAGGGGGTTTGGGCGCTGCCCCCTGTCACGCTGATCCCGGTGCCGGGAGGCTTCTCGGCTCCGCTGATCCCGGTGCTGGGAGGCATATTACCCTTTTACTATATAGGATAAAGGCCTGGTGCATGGGTGGGGGCCGGCTGGTTT